ATCCATGTGCACTGGAGTAGAATGTTTTTTGTACTGTTGTTGGGTGATGTATTCTATTAAGTGTTCTGTTAAGTCTAGTTGGTTTGTAGTTTCATTCAGATACTCTGTTTCTTGTCAATCTTTCTAGATGTTCTGTCCAATATTGAAAAGTGGTGTATTGAAGTCTCCAGCTATTATCGTAGTGCTATCTATTTCTCCCTTCAATTCTATCAGTGTTTGCTTTCTATATTTAGGTGCTCTGATGTTGGGTGCATATACACCTACTCTTCACCTATCAACTAACTCATTATCTGATGTTTTGCATTTACAACAGTAGCAAAATATCTGCTATCTCACTATTTTGCATGTTAACGAAGTACATCTGGCAGTAGCTAATGCCAGAGTGTGAGGCTAGAGTCACACTGGCTGTGATGGTTAAGGTTATGTGTCAGCTTGGCTAGGCCATGATTCTTAGTGGTTTGGCAGTTATGTAATGATGTAGTCATCCTCCATTTTTACATAATGTCAATTTTCAAATAACGACCTGGTCTTTGGAAACTTATTTACTTATGTAAATAAGTGCAGAGTGGGTGTATTTTTTATGGAGCCCTGGTAGTGTAGTGGTTAAGAGCTCGTCTGCTGACCAAAAGGTCAGCAGTTCAAATCCACCAGCTGCTCCTTGGAAACCCTATGGGGCAGTTCTACTCTGTCCTATAGAGTTGCTATGAATTGGAATCAACTCAATGGCAATGGGTTTTTTTGGGGTGTGTGTTTATAATTGTTAAATCTTCTTGATGAATTGACCCTTTCATCACTATATAATGTCCATCTTTATCTCTTCTAAAGTATTTTGTCTTCAAATCTATTTTGTCTGGTTTTAAGATTGTCACCCAGCTCTCTTTTGGTTATTAATTGCATGGGACATTTTTTCCATCCTTTCACTTTCAACATATTTGTGTCTTTGGGTCTAACAGGTGTCTCTTGTAAACAGTATATAGTTGGATTATGTGGAGTTTTTTTTATTACTTTTCATTCTGCCTTATGATTGGGGCACTTAGCTCATTTACATTCTCTGTAATTACCACTAATAAAGGACTTACTTCTGCCATTTTGCTTTGGGGGGTGTGAGTGTGTGTGTGTCTTAAGCTTTCATTTTCTATTTCTTCTAATACTGCCTGTTTTTGAGTTGCATTTTTTTTTTTTTGTAGTGAGTCATTTGGATTACCTTCTCCTTTCCTCTTGTGTATATATTTTTAGATATTTTCTTAGAGATTATGATTAATATTATATTTGACATCTTGCATTTATATTATATTATATTTATCCTAGGGTGAGTGGATACCAATTTAACTTCAGTAACATACAAGAAATACTATACCATTCCTCCCCCTACCACCACCATTTTGTTGTTATTATCACCGATTACATCTTCATATTTTGTGTTCCCAGTAACATAATTTTGTCTTTTTTTTAATACATTTTGTACATTAAAATGCATGAAGGACAAAACAATTAGAATTATCAAGCACAGATACCTTATTAATAATCCTTATACTTGTCCATGCAATAACTTTTGCTGGAGATCTTTCTTTTCATCTATGGCTTTGAATTATTTTCTAGTGTCTTTTCTGTTTCATCTAAAGGACTCCCATTAGCATTTTTTGTACAGCCAGTCTGGTAGATATGAACTCTCTCAGCTTGTGTTTGTCTGGGAATGTTTTAACTTTATCCTTTCTTAAAAGACAGTTTTACTGGGTATAGTATTCTTGATTGACAGTTTTTTTTTTTTTTCCCCTTCAGCATTTTAAATATATCACTCCATTACCTTTGGCCTCCAATGTTTCTGAGGAGAAATCGGCATCAAATCTTATTGGGGATCCTTTATATATGACTGTTCGCTTCTCTCTGCTGCTTTCAGGATTCTCTCTTTATCTTTACTTTTTGAGAGCTTTATTATGATGTGTCTTGGTGTAGATCTCTTTGAGTTTATCTTGCTTGGGTTTCTTTGAGCTTCTTGGATTTGTAGATTCATGTCCTTCATCAGATTCAGGAAGTTTTCTGTCATTATTTCTTCAAATATTCTTTCTGTCCCTTTCTCTCATCTCCTTAAGGAATTCCCATGATGCATATGTTAGTTCTCTTGATGTTGTCCCAGAATCCCATTAAACTGTGCTCAGCAGTCTTGAGCCTCCATTCTTGTTGCTCCTCAGCCTCCATAATTTTGACTATCTTATCCTCTAATTCACGGATTATTTCTTCTGGCTAATCAAATCTGTTGTTAAATCCTTCCATTGTGTTTCTCATTTCAGTTATTATCTCTTTCAGTTCCAACAATTTCTGTTTGGTTACTTTATAGAGTGTTTATCTGTCTCTTTTTTTTTAAATCCTTGTTTTGTCCATGCATTGTTTTTGTTATTTCTTTTAGATGTTTGTCTATGTTTTCCCTTAGTTCTTTGAGTATGTTTAACATTGTTGAATTATGTTCTTCCATTTTGTTCATTGTTTGGGCTTCCATAGATGTGATTTCAGCTTGTTCATTTGGATAGACCATCATTTCTCTTATTTTTGTTTGTCTTGTAAGTTTTTGTTGGGGCACAGGAATTTTTTAAGGTGTTAGCTTTCTAAGTTCTCCCCAGTATCTGGTGTTTTTCCCACACTACTTTCTGCAAGAAACTCTTAGGCAGGCAGAGCCTTCAGGCCTTGCTTACTTCTTACTGTCTCTCTCTGTGATAGCTCCTTCTCCCTCTCTGTTTTAATTAGGATTCAGAAGTTCCAGATCTTGGTTTTCGGCATTCAGTTTCTTCCAAACACATCAGAGAACATGCAGTGATCAATCTGTCCACCAAAGGGTGCAGCCACTCAGAAGAGATGTCATGCACTAATCATTTGTCCACCAGGGGGCGCAATCCTCTCTTTCTGGTTATTGCTACACTCCTCCGCTGTGTTTCTGCAACCACGTTTTCAGTTGGAAAGCCCGTACCCAATGAGCCCCCTGCAGTGCTGGTTGTTGCCCTTAAGCTTTGCCCAAGGCCTCCTTCCCTGTTTGGGGGGAGGGGTCACTTATATCTGAGCTGGCATACAGGGGAAACACAGGAAGACTTTCCTCAAAATCAGGAGAAGAAGCAGCTGGCACTCCCCAGACAGACGTCTAAGAAATCTTTCTTGTTGGTTTCAGAGCCCCAGTGGCCCTGTGCTGGTTGGGAGAGAAGGTCTCATTTAAGGGGCCTGCTTCCTAGCACCACTGCAGGGGTCCTTCTGTGGCAATTCCTATCAGCCCTGCAGGAGACAGTTACCAGGTGGGACAGGTGCTGCCTTACTGTTTTCAGAGCCCCATCCATAATATATTGGCTATGGAAGCAGGCTCCACTCGAGGCACCTGCCTCCTGGCTCATAGCTGCTGTAGTCAGTGGTTCTCAGCACCAGCTGGAAGTCAGGGGGGAGCAGATAGACCTAAAGCAACCCAGGGAGATTTGCCCTGTTGATTTCATAGGCCTGATCTATCATGCATCTACTGTGTGTAGGCAGGCAGAGAGCTGGCTGTGAGAGCAGACTCCACTGCAGGGAGGCTTCTGTAGTAATTTGTAGAGTCTGGCAACTGATAGTTACCAGGTAGAGGAGGAACTGGATGTTCAGAATGGGCCCCCAGCGAGGTCTGCCTTGTTGATTTCAAGCACCAGCTGTAGTATGTTGATGTGATGGTTAAGGTTGTGTGGCAACTTAGCTGGGCCATGATTCTCAGTGGTTTGGCAGCTATGATGTCATTTGGCAGACATATGATGATGTGATCACCTCCATGATGAGATTTGATATGACATGATCACCTCCATGATGGGATCTGCTGTGAGTAGCCAGTCAGTTGAAAGGGCGTTTCCTTGAGGGTCTGGCCTGCATCGAATATAAGTGGACTTTCTGGCAAGTTTCGTGGGCTTTTTCACACTTTGGATCCTGGAGCTGGCTCCTGTTCATCTCACTTCTCGTTCCTGGGACTTGAGCTAGCTGCTTGTCTGCAGTCTTGTGTGCCAATCTTGGGATTTATCAGTCTTCGCAGCCTATGAGCCAGAGCCCTACTGTCTGACTTGCCGATCTTGGGTTCACTAGCCCCTGCATCTACGTGAATCAAGAGAAACCTCCAGCCTGACCCACATTCCAGACTCTACAACCATGTGGGTCATTTCTTTGATATAAATCTCTCTATATATCTATTTATATGCTTTACTGGTTTTGCTTCTCTAGAGAACCCAGCCTAAAACAGTTGGCTATGGGAGCAGGCTCCACTCAGGACACCTGCTTCCTACCTCACAGCAGCTTTAGTCATCGGTTCTCAGTAATAGCCAGAAGGGGGGCAGACAGACCCAAACTGACCCCATGGAGATTTGTCCTGTTATTTTGGGGGTTTGTGGTATGGGTGCACATGCAGACAGAGTGCTGGTTGTGGGAGCAAGTTCCACTGCAGGGGTTCTTCTGTATAATTTGTCAGGCAGCTGACAGTTACTGGTTGGGGTAGGAGCTAGCACACTCAGAATGGACTCCCAGGGAGGTCTGCAGTGTTGATTTTAGAACAGAAACTTGGGGTTTTGTCTTTTTGCAAAGGCAGGGGGTGTAGTGGCTCCAGCAAGGGGCCGCTTCCCCAGTTCACAGCAGCATGGGGTCCACGTGGCTAAGGGAGGGTCAGGGATGGTGGGAAAAGCAATTTTCCTATCATATGCAACTATTCATTGACTCATTGACTCTTGCCCACCTGCAGTCCTCCACTGCTGCCCTCTGCTCCCTGATTCAGAGTCCCTCGAGGCCGAGTACCATTTTCTTGTTGTATTTGTGGGGGAGGGTCAAATGATGATCCGTTTACACTACCATCTTCCCAGAATCCCAATGAGCTCTTTTTAAGATACGGACAAGAAGTTGACTCAGAGTATCACTGAATACTAAGCACCAAACCAAAACCGAACCCATTGCCATCGAGTCGATTCCAATGCATAATAACATTCTATTAACTATTTTCTATTTACTCCCCTTTCTTGCAGCCAGTGAAATTGTGGATGCCATTAAATCACATTTTTTAGCAAGTTTTGTGACTGGAATGATAAGTTCAAAGATGATCCAGTTGTGGATGGCAACTATTTTTGGTGATGACGTCAATCATATAAGTCTCAGCTTTTCAATTTTGTATCTCGTCTTTTATATTTGTAAGTGAGGAGCCTGTCCCTAATACTAAATTACATAGAAAAATTTAAAAGATATGGAAAATACATACCAGGCAAAAAACTAGTTTAAAAAAAAAAATCTTTCAACTGATCTAGAAGGAATATTTTTGGTGACATAATCTATTAAAAGAGATAACAGATATCAATATACATACTATGCAAAAACAATGCACCAAAATATACAAAGCAAATGCCATTGGAAAAGAAAGAAGAATTTGACAAAATCACAATTACAGTTATATATGTTAGCATGCCTCTCCAAGGTAATTTAATAACCACTTGCACAATAAATAAGTATGGCTATAAAAATGTTTAAATAATAATTTATATGCTTAGTTTATAAGGTATATAAAAATTTTTGCCCCTCAAAACAGAATGATATAATTTACATATACCTACGTTGTTGTTGTTCTTAGGTGCTGTCGAGTCAGTTCTAACTCATAGCGACCCTGTGTACTACAGAAAGAAACACTGCCTGGTCCTGTGCCATCCTCATAATTGTTGCTATGTTTGAGCCCATTGTTGCAGCCACTGTGTCAGTCCATCTCATCGAGGGTCTTCCTCTTTTTTGCTAACCCTCTACTTTACCAAGCATGTCCTTCTCCAGGGACTGGTCCCTCCTGATAACTTGTCCAAAGTACATGAGACAAAGTCTCGACATATACCTACAGACTTTTTAATAGGAGCCCTGATGGTACAGTGGTTAAGCACTCAGCACTAGGCTGCTAATTGAAAGGTATGCGATTTGAACCCACCAGCGGCTCTTCAGGAGAAAGATGTGGCAGTCTGCTCCTGTAAAGATTTACAGCCTTGGAAACCTTATGGGGCAGTTCTACTCTGTCCTATAGGGTCACTATCAGTTGGAATCGACTTGATGGCACACAATAGCAACAATATAGACCCTTTAAAAAATGAACTGGAATAGAAGAAAATTTCAATAGATTCCAAAATTTTTTACTGTTAAAGATACATTGTTCAACCACAATGCAATTAAAATAAACAATAGCTATACAATAGAGTTTAAAAAAAATAAACGACCTAACTGCCTGTAAATCAATTATACTATTCTAGGTAACTCTTAGAACACAAAGGAAATCAAAACAGAAGTTACAGATCAAGTAGGGCTAAATATTATAAAATCTATTCATATTATTAATCCAGTGACCATCACTCCATCCTCACAGAAGTATGACAGATATTGAATTTGTCATATCACTGTTTCCTGTTACAGCTTCAGAATCATGTTCAACAAATACCTGCAGACAGCCCTATGAATGATTTAGAGATGGCATGTCAGATAATACCTATTCACCAAACCTATACTATATGTCATTCCATTACATTTAGGAATAAAACAATGGTGCCTTTCTCACAGCCATGATTAAAAATTATTCTGCAAGCTCTAGCTAATGCAATAAGAAAAAAAAGTTTACACGTTTTGAGAGAGAAAATGGTTACATCATTTGCAATATGGTAGATTACACAGAAAAACCCAAGACTGTTAACTAATAAACTAAGCCAGCAAACTCTTTACTAGGATAACTTGATATAAATATACAAATATATATATATATATATATAAATAAACCATCAGTAACTAGTTAGAAAGTATCATGAAAATTTAAGTCTCTTCACATTGGAAAAATGTTATAAAATAGAAAGGAAAAAAACTTAGCAAGAAGTTTGGGTCTGAAAATAGAAAACTGCCAAGTTTACTGAGAAACATAAAATTTGAATAAATTGAGACAGAGGAAAAACTCCTTAGAAATGCTAGAGTAGCAAGATTCATGATTGCCAGGTCTAAAGTGGGAAAGGCAGAATATAGGAGCTTGGGGCTTCTGAGTTATTCAATGGATTAAAGCCAATTATAATCTAATGAGTTTACAGAATCAAGTTAGTGAATTAACAGACAGTGAGAGAAAGATCAGAAGGTCTCCAGGTGGCTCAGACAGTTTGTGCTTGACTACTCACCTAAAGGTTGGCAGTTTGAACCCATCCAGTGCTATCACGGAAGAAAGGCCTGGTGATCTGCTCCTTTAAGATTACAGCCAAGAATAGCCTATGGAGCAGTTCTACTCTCTAACACACAGGGTCTGCATGAGTCAGAATCGGGTTTGGCAGCAGGTTTGGTTTTTGGTTTTTTGGGTTGGAAGAAAGATCACTGTACTGGTCTGTTGATCATGTACTGGTATAAATGTGTATAGTTAAATTCCTACAACAAATATATTCTGACAAATATACTTTTCTCTAACATCATTTAGTCAGTAAGCATAGCCTCAAGATTAAGGGTTATACCCAAAAATTTAATTTTAAACTTTTCAGGTTAATATCTCAACAGATATTTTAGAAATAAAACTGCTAGGAATAAATCCATGAAAACAAGATATAGAGTAAATGTAAATCTAATATAAAAGGACTTTCACTCTGACCTGGCTTAATGTTTATATTATTAATAACTTCAAGATAATTGTTTTATGAAAATTCTCCAGATTTCTCCACTATCTAACAAGTGGTAATGACTAGTTCAGAGCTTGATCTTTTCAAAGCACTTGAGTCCACACACGCCTCTTCACTCATGATTCATAAATAACTAACTTAAGTGATCATTTCTGGCTTAGATACCATTTCTGATCAGGGCTGAAATGAAGAATATAAAACATAATTTTTCGTTTCTAGAAGAGAAGACTAAATAGCATCATAATGATACTAATGTCATCAAATCTCTATCAAACCATAGTAGAAATTCGGTTTTGGTTTTGAAATTTTATAAAACAATCCCAAAGTTCGTCTGGAAATATTAATGTGTGAGAATAGACAAGACGATTTTGAAAAGAGGCATACCATAGGGAACTTTCCCTATCAAGTGTTAAAGCATTTAATAAGGTCACGGCAATTAAAATACAACTGTTGTAATACAGGAATACAAACTAGGTCAAAGAACAGAGAAGGGATCAGAACTGATTCATATGTGTGTATGTGTATATATACATATACATATATATACATGTATATACATATACGTACATAGCCCTGGTGATGCCATGGTTAAAGCTCTAGGCTGCTAAATGAAGGGTGAGTGGTTCCAAACCACCAGGAGCTCGCGGAAGAAACATATGGTAGTCTTCTTCCATAGAGATTGACAGCCTTGGAAACCCTATGGGGTCGCTGTGAGTTGGAATACTCCCCCGCAGTGGGTTATATATGTATATGTTGTTGTTAGTTGCTGTGGAGTTGATTTTTGACTTATAGCGACCCCATGTGACAGAAAGAGGTATATCCACAATATTCTATAGTATTAAACACAAATTTTTTATTAATGGAACAGTGTCTGCTATCCACAGAGGCATCTACGGAAAATAGCAGCTATGTCAAGCACTGAAATTGCCCTCTCCGGGGCATATCGAGGAAACCAAGCAAGATAACCAGCGCCCAGGGGCAATCTCTAAACGGTGCCCCCTCCCAATTTTCCGGTGACTAGGTGTTGATAGCTGCAATCCGTCAGCAGAAACACCTTTCCCCCTCTTGTCTGGCTGTCTCAGTCAGGCGCTTTTCATATTTGTGGCACCTCGAAATGTCATTCCGTGCCTCTTCTGGCGCCCCCTTGGGCTTGCGCCCAGGGCAAGTGCCTCCTCTGTCCCCCTCACTAGGCCTCTGTGTCGGCTCTGCTTGAGGAAGGAGTCAGGCAGAACCAGGTTAATAGCAACTGCTCAGTGGCCCCTCTTCACTGAACCGGCTTGATAGAAACTGCTCAATGCCCCTCCCCCGCTTCACTGAACCAGGTTAACAGAAACCGCTCAGTGCCCCTCACTCCCTTCAAGTGGCTCCCAGGGCACGTGCCGTACTTGCCATAACTTAGATATGCCTCTGGCATAAATAGAAAAAAGAAGCCGATTACAGAATTACATATTATTGTTTAATTTCATTGTGGTGTTTTAAGAAAGTGTGACTTTAAATTCTACCAAAGATGGGCAGAAAAGGAGAGCTCACAGGGAAAAGTTACATTATGTAGTTTACAGCTCTATGAGATCTGATAAAAAACAAAAAAACCAAACCTATTGCAGTCAAGTCTATTCTGACTCATAGCGACCCTATAGGACAGAGGAGAACTGCCACATAGAGTTTCCAAGGCTATAATCTTTAGGGAAGCAGACTGCTACATCTTTCTCCCTCACAGGGCCTGATGGGTTCAAACCACTGACCTTTCGGTTAACATCTGAGTGATTAACCACTGGGCCATCGGGGCTCCTAATTCCTCACTTTTATATCATTCCTCACTTGTCTCAAGTTATAGAAATTCAGTAAGTATCCTATAATGCTTGCATATGACCTTTGGATCTCATTCGCTATTCTTAAGTAGCTTATCAAATTATATTCTAAGCAAATACAGTGCTCTCCCTCACAGAAATTCTAGTAAATTTTTCTCTAACTCATCATATCTGAAGTCCTGGAGTGGCACAATAAGTGGTTTTCTTTTTTTAACATGTAATCTTTATACTCTACCATATTATTTGAACATCTCACTGTGATAATAAATCTCTTTTAGAAACTAGGGTAAAGGCAGGAACAACTCTCACAGAGCTCCTCTTAAGACCACTCCACAGATGACTCTTTAGGAGTTCCTGGGTGGCACAAGGGGTTAAGTGCTTGCTAACAAGCTGAAAGATAGGTGGTTCGAACCCACCCAGAGACGCCTAGTAAGAAAGGCCTGGCAATCTGCTTCTGAAAGTTCACAGACTGGAAAACCCTATGGAGTGCAGCTCTACTCTGCAACACATGGAGCCACCATGAGTTCTAATCGACTAAACAGCAACTGAAAAAACAAACGGGTCTTTAAACTTTTCAGTACCTCACAGTTAATGACCAAAACAAAATTAAATTAAACAGGAAAAAACAAACAAACCCACTACCGTCAAGTCGATTCCAACTCATAGCAACCCTATAGGACAAGGGTTTCCAAGCCTGTAAATCTTTAAGAAGCAGACTGCCACATCTTTCTCTCAAGGAGCGGCTGGTGGATTCTAACCACTGACCTTTCGGTTAGCAGCCGAATGCTTAATCACTGTGCCACCAGGGCTCCTTAAACAGGGGAAGGAGGCCCATATTGAATCTCTGCTGGCCTGACTCTCTTAGTCCTATCACAGGATCAAACCATTCCTATCTCCTACATCTCCCAAGGAGAAAGCGTATGAGTTCCATAAAGAGCTCATCAGCTAATTTCCAATTAATTCATCCTTCCAGAGCCCCTTTGGGACAACTAGACCTCTACCAGCCTACATCTGCCAAAGTGTTTTGTGAGCTCCATATTGTTGCTAGTTATCTGAAGCCAAAGCAATGCAAGGATGTCCAGAATAGACTTTACTACAGAGTTGAGTGTGAAGCTATAGAAAAACAAGCAAAGAGTAACAACAACAAAAAACCACAATAGGTTGTAGTAATAATTTGCAACATTTCTCATCTGAAACCAAGTGGGGGGAGCCTCTCTATAAAGTCACTATCCTTTCAAGATATCTGATATTATCATCTCTGATAAAACTTGTGCCACTCTTGATGTTAAAACAATACTTCATTTCTTTTTAAAAATAGGTGAGTTAATTGGAATGTCTGGAATATTTACTCTTGCCATTATGGGACTTTTTTTAAATTCTACAAGTTTTAAACCAGGAGTTGAAGCACTTCTTGTCGAGTGAGTGGCTAGCATATTTTCACTTTATTTCATATCTCAGAAGCTATAATATTATGGTAGTAGCCACATGCACATCTACATGGTCAAAGGAAGATACATCAACTTGAAAACTACACAACTGAAAACCCATCCTAAAAACTCTCTGGCCTGTGCCTTCAATCCTCTAATTTTAGGTAACATTTGTAACCTTGAGTTCGTGTTGACTTTATTTCCCCACTAATTCTGCAAGTCTCTGACCATCTACTTAGCAAATCCTGGTGGATGTCCTGAGCCATGAGACAGGACTGGGATTAGGGCAGGGCGAGGCAAGTGAGGCATTTGCCTCAGGCACAACAGTTAAGAGGGTGATAAAAAATTTAGTAATCAAGGTAAATATTTAATGCAATATTTTAAAAAATTTGAAATTAATGCCAAAAATCCATGATGAACAAAACATCAAAATAGTAAAGACAGGATCACTCCTACTGATTGCTTCTTTTGCCTCAGGCTTCAATGTGGCTTCATGCAGCAAGGCCACTAGACTGGAAGACTGATATTTTAAGAACAAAGAAGAGATGGCACAGAAAAGAAATTGAAAAATTAAGTTAGGGTATTTGAAGAGGGTTGTCAGTGTTAAAAAGAAGGCATGGCCAAATTAAATGTAAGCAAGACTATGGGTACACGTGTGCAAATTGTGCCCTGCTTGAGGGCACCTAGCTGAGGGTGAGTGGAGTCTGTGTCAGACTAAAGGAAGGGCGCTTCTGTAGTCCCCCAACACACACAATGGGAACTTGATCTAAATCACACAACGGCAACATGTGCTAAGAGAGACCCTGAGTGTGAACAATGATTTTTGGAGTTTGGGAGAAAATTAGAGAAGCTAGAATGAATTCCAAAGCCAGATATTTAAGGTTGTGGGATCGTACAGGATTCTGGAGCACTTCCACAAAATTTCATGTGAATGACAATAGATGTCCATTGCACTAGGAGCTAGGCAGAATTAATTAGGCCAGTTGTGGGAAGAATGTAGTTAATAAATTTTTTAAGCAAATGTTTATGTCTATAGAAAGTGAATCCTTTCAACCTTCTTGCTCTAACTGAAAGCTGGGTGTCCCCTGAAGACATTACTTCCTTTATATTCCTTACAAGCTGTGGTGTCTTTCTCACCTACATCCCTGGTCCATCCTGGAAGTGAGCAGGTGATTTCCCTATTCCTTAATGCCATTTCTAGATCGTTTTTTCTCCTACAGAAGAACACGATTTTGAAGCTCATGACATCTGCCACATCCTTGGTGGGTGAGGTTATCTATAGAACCCCAGTCGCATTCTTTATTTTGTAAGAGTTTTGGCGCCTGTCTCACTGAGACCCTCCCCCACCTTACTCTGTCACCAGTCTCAGCAATGTCAGTATACACAGAGTAGATTCTTCCATTGCCACACCTCTCAAGCTTCTTGGTTTCCTGTCCTCCTCTGAGCATGTCTACTATCCGACTTTAGCCACCCACTTGTATGATGTCTTATTACTAGTGCTGCTGTAACAGAAATACCACAAGTGGATGGCTTTAAAGAACAATTTTTTTTTTCACAGTTCAGAAGACTAGAAGTCTGAATTCGGGGTGTTACTCTAGGGGTAGATCTTCTTTGTCTATTTCAGCTTCTGATGTTGTCAGGTGCCCTCAAGTTGGTTCCTACTCATAGTGACCCCATGTACAACAGAACAAAACACTGCTCAGTCCCGTGCCATCCTCACAATTGTTATGCTTGAGCCCATTGTTGCAGCCACTATGTCAATTCATCTCATTGAGGGTCTTTCTCTTTTTCGCTGACCCTCTACTTTACCAAGCATGATGTCCTTCTCCAGGGACTGGTCCCTCCTGATAACACATCCAAAGTATGTGAGATATAGTCTTGCCATCCTTGCTTCTAAGGAGCAGTCTGGCTGTACTTCTTTCAAGACAGATTTGTTTGTTCTTTTGGCAGTCCACGGTATATTCAATATTCTTTGCCAACACGGCAATTCAAAGGCGTCAGCTCTTCTTTGGTCTTCCTTATTCATCATCCAGCTTTCACACACATATGAGGTGATTGAAAATACAGTGGCTTGGGTCAGGCACATCTTAGTCTTCAAGGTGACATCTTTGCTTTTCAACACTTTAAAGAGGTCTTTTGCAGCAGATGTGCCCAATGCAATGCGTCTTTTGATTTCTTGACTGCTGCTTCCATGAGTGTTGATTGTGGATCCAAGTAAAATAAAATCCTTGACAACTTCAATCTTTTCTCCATTCATCATGATGCTGCTTATTGGTCCAGATGTGAGGATTTTTTTTTTTTCTATATGTTGAGGTGTAATCCATATTGAAGGCTGTGGTCTTTGATCCTCATCAGTAAGTGCTTCAAGTCCTCTTCACTTTCAGCAAGTAAGGTTGTGTCATCTGCATAACATAGGTTGTTAATGAGTCTTCCTCCAATCCTGATGCCCCATTCTTCTTCATATAGTCCAACCTCATGGATTATTTGCTCAGCATACAGATTGAATAAGTATGCTGAAAGAATACAACCCTGACACACACCTTTCCTGACTTTAAACCACCTGGTATCTACTTGTTGTGTTCGAACGACTGCCTCTTGATCTATCTATGTACAGATTCCTCAGGAGCACAATTAAGTGTTCTGAAATTCCCATTCTTTGCAATGTTATCCATAATTTGTTATGATCCACACAATCGAATGCTTTTGCATAGTCAATAAAACACAGGCAAACATCTTTCTGGTATTTTCTGCTTTCAGCCAGGATCCATCTGACATCAGCAATGATATCCCTGGTTCCACATCCTCTTATGAATCTGGCTTGAATTTCTAACAGTCCCCTGTTGATATACTGCTGCAGCCACTGTTGAATGATCTTCAGCAAAATTTTACTTGCGTGTAATATTAATGACGTAGTTCGATAATTTCCACATTCGGTTGAATCAGCTTTCTTGGGAATAGGCATAAGTATAGATCTCTTCTAGTCGGTTGGCCAGGCAACTGTCCAAATTTCTTGGCATAGACGAGGTGAGTACTTCCAGTGCTGTATCCCTTTGCTGAAACATCTCCATCGGTATCCTGTCTTGTTTTTCACCAAAGCCTTCAGAGCAGCTTGGACTTCTTTCTTCAGTACCATCCGTTCCTGATCATATGCTACTTCCAGCAATCCTTGGAGTTCACGGGATTGTAGATTCATCTGCCTTTGTTTGTGCATGGCTCTAATGTACATTTTTCAATAACTTTGAAGTGATTAGGTTTAGGCCACCCCTACACTGATGGCCTCATTAATTAAAAAAAAAAAAATCCAACTCTATTTCTAAACAGGATTACATCGACAGATATAGGGGTAAGGATTCTAACAGATGATTTAATCATTTGCCATTGAGTCTATTCCAACTCATGGCAACCCTCACTTCTTTATACTTCTATTCATACATAACCTCCTTGGAAAGAAATTCCCTAAACACCTTATATAAAATAGAAATTACCTCTTTACCAGCCTGCATAGTCTTTTATTCCTGGGGAATTGACTTCTCCAATATGTCTAGTTTATAAGGTCATATCATCCCTTTAGACTAGTGGCTGTGCAAAATTGGGCACTAAGATAGATGGATGGATGGATGTGTGGGTGGATGGATGGATGGATGGATGGATGGATGGATGGATGGATGGGTGAGTGGATCAATCAATCGACTGATCTATCAGTCGATAGGTAGATACCTCAACCTATTAGACTCAAAATCTCTGAAGGTGAGATTATGAGACAACTGACTTTTAAAAACACAACCCAGATGATAATGACGTACAGATGATGTTGTGATCCACTGCTACATTAAAAGACCTGGGTTTATTAAGACAACTCATGATCTCCAAATGAGGAAAAGGGATTTGAAAAAAATAATTCAAGATTTCTTTTTCTGTGTCTGACTTAACACACACACACACACATGCACATCTTTTAGATGGGTTTGGAATTTGATAGACTAGCTCATGCCAACCCTGAGTTTGATAGAGGCTGATTTCTTAGAGAACATGGTTTCTTTCTCATCAGGGTTCTCCCATTAATTCCTAGTACATATCAAAGAGTCTTGACAGTTCCTCAATATTTGTTGTTTAACTGATTTGATTAATTTTTATGTTAACTGACAAAACTGATTTTTGGCATTTGGTGGCATTTACCCAGATTGTTAGGGTAAGTTTTTGAATCATTTCATTGTTAACGTATAGTAAAGGTATGATCATGATTCATACCCACCTTTCATTTGACTGAATTATTCTACTCAGTGTTTGCAATTGACTTCATTAATTGTGTGGGTAGGTGGTTATAATGCATTGAGGGAATTTTCTTTTCATACCCATATATATGGTACAACAATTGAATGTGCTTTTTGTAGTGAAGTCAAAAGAGTAAAGAATACAAAAATTACAAAATTGCCAGAAAATATATCTTAGTGTTTTTTCCTGCAAATTAGTGTCTAATTCAATACTTGAATCCAGAAGACAATATAATTAAAAGTAGGGCCATACATATACAAGAAAGGGATGTAGAAGTAAAAGTTCAGCCACAGAAGATTATTTCAAAAGATGGGATTCATTATTTCCTGTGCTAAAATATTTCCTTTTGAATGTTTCTCTGATAATCTCTAAGTGTGCCTCTGAAATAGAGTTCAGAAACAGAAATTTTCTATGAATGTAACAGACAAGGGTTTACATTTAGTATCAAATTTGTTTTTAGGCAAAAGCAGTATTTCTGGAGACAAGAGTATCTCCAACACCAAACTTGTTGCTGCTGAGTCAGTTCTGACTCCTGGCAACTCTCGTGTGTTACAAAGTAGAACTGCTCCATAGGCTTTTCTTGGCTATAATCTTTACGAAGGAGATCACCAGGCCACTAGGTGGGTTCAAACCTTTAGATCAGCAGCCTATCACAACTGCTTGCACCACTGTGATCTTCAGAGTGTCTCAGGGACAGAATCAGGCTAGCAATGGATAAAACCAAATCTCCTCCCCTCATATAAGGGTACTTGTGTGCCTTTTTAATATTTTCAATTTATTTTGTTATAAATATACTATATGGACATTAAAGAGATAAAATATACAGAAAGATAAAAAGAAGTAAGGTTTAAAACATAGCCTCTCATGCTCCCAACACCAAAACTTGACCAGTATTGGAATTTGAATGTTCTTTTTCAAACTGTTTTGTCTGCAGCTGATAAGACCCCGAATTCTAGGAATGATGTGGGGTTTTACTGGACTTTGAAGAACTTGAATACTTATATTTTCACAAGTTCAAAATGGAGACTCTACAAATGGCATTTAGATGAATAAAAGATCCGTTCACATGTTCTGAGAACTAGCTAGATTTTAGGCAACAGCTTAATCCTATAACTGTTTAAATCAGACTTAACAGTTTAGCATTCCTTTTTAAAAGAAATGATTTTAGCTTTTCCTATTGAACAAGATGGCGGGGGTGGGTGGTATTTGTGGTTCAGTGGTAGAATTCTCTCCTTCCATGCGGGACACCCTGGTTCAATTAACAGCCAGTGCACCTCATGCATAGGCACCACCCTTCTGTCAGTGGAGGCTTGCATGTTGCTATGATGCTGAACAGGTTTCAGCAGAGCTTCCAGACTAAAATGGACTAGGAAAAAAGGCCTAGCAATCTACTTCCAAAAATGAGCCAAAGAGCACCCTGTGAATCACAGCAGTTAGATCTGAAACCGGTCATGAAGATGGTACAGGACCAGGTAGTATTTTGTTCTGTTGTACATGGGGTCACCAGGAGTTGAGGGCCGCTAACAACAACTATGAAATGAGGACTTTACATTCAGTATTCTTGAGCTACATGGATCACAATGCCTGAATGACTGAGTTCTATTAAATAGCATAGCCACAACCTAAATATTTCTTTCAAAATCAGTTCAAAAAGAATGACACTGATTTATTTACATGCAGTGTTAAAATTGCTGCTTAAAATTGCTTTAGAATTATTTGTTTACTTGGCTTCAAACTCCTTCTCCTCCGTTAGATTTGAAGCCCCTTGAGTCTTGGTAAATTTCCTTATTCATTTTCCTTGTAATGCCTACCACAGTGCATCAGATCGATAAGTCTTGCAATAAATATATGCTAGATTAATTAACTTAATTTTTTTCTGAAAATACAGATTCTGGAATTGTTTATCATTTGTTTCCTTTCTTACGGTGTTTACTTTCATTGGTCTTCTAATTCCTGCACAAACATATTTATATGTATCATTTTCTGATATATACTTTTCACTAAATATGTACTTCACAGTAAATATATGCTAGATTAATTAACTTAATTTTTTTCTGAAAATACAGATTCTGGAATTGTTTATCATTTGTTTCATTTCTTATGGTGTTTACTTTCATTGGTCTTCTAATTCCTGCACAAACATATTTATATATATCATTTTCTGATATATACTTTTCACTAAATATGTACTTCACACTGATGGTCTTAAGGTAAGAATATCATTTGAATTTTTCTATTCATAGGAAATTGAGTAAGTCTGAAGATAATCTTTTAAATATTAAAATGTTTCATATCTTAGAATGGTCAACTCTAAAAATTTCCAAAGATCTATCAGCAAATTAGTATCTTTCAGTTTTAAACTGCAGTTCAGGCAGTGCAAACATTTTGTAAAATTTTTGGAAATTAGAAAGAAGAAAACTTTCCTAATTTTACTTTCCAGAAACAACCACTATTAACACTTTGCATAGTTCATCCTGTTTTGTTTTGTTTTCTGTGAGCTTTATGAGGTTAAACATCTATCATAAATAAAAAAAAATTATCTCACTTTGGTTGCTTAATATTATACGAGAAACAATTTCTTACTAATTAAAAATTAGAATTGAAAATAATGTTTTTAAAAAAACATAAAGAATTCCTCTTAATACTTATCTTTTTTGCTTGAACAATTTTTCTAGTCCCTTTTACCAGTTTTAAGAGGCAGAAAAATGTCTACTCCTATAGCTACAAAGGAGGTGGCATGGAAGAGGATAAACGGCTATGACTGGAGTCTCCCATTTCTTTCGTTTCTATTACTCAAATTGCTAGCATTCTACTTGCTACCTAGAAAAATTTGTTAGGTAGTTGACATCAAGTTTGCTAGTGCCAAGTAAATGGAAATTATTTCCAAAATATCAGATGCATTTAGTGGAAATTATAGAAATTATTATATTACTGAAAAAATAAATACACATAAATGAATTGACCAGTGTTTGGTCAATTCATTGGACAGAGTCAGCAAGGTTAATCTATGGGAAAAAAAAAAGAAAAGAGGAATATTTTCCTCTCACCTTTTATTCATTAGATTTGTTTTCATTCCTTTTTGGGATCCAAAGATGGTGTGAAATTACCTTACTATTCTCATAGGAGAAAGAAACAAAGAGAATAATGCTATTCTTATAATTCTATGTATTCTCCTGGCCTTCCTTTGGTGCTATGACAATAATGTGTGAAAAATGGCACATTTGTCTGACAGTTGGCATTCCACAGGGAATAAATTAGAATAGAGTGGAATAAAATGGAAATAAGTTTCTGTGACAAGAATAACTTTCTAAAAATTATTTTCTCTTTTAGACTTCTGGTCATTCTATTAATGAGCCCCCTTTTGTCTCGACTTGGTCATGGGTTCAGCTGGCGCTGGGCATTCATAATGGCCTTGAGTGAAATGAGAGGGACACCTAATATAAACATGGCCCTTCTACTTGCCTATGACTCTTCCACTGGAACTGAGAGGGAAAAATCACAAGTAAAGAACACTGTATTTTTTATTTTATAGATTATAAAGCTGTTTCTTGTGCTAAAAATATTTTTAACTGTGAGGTAGCTCAGCTGCACTTGGACTGTAGAAATGATTTAGCTATGATGGCAAGACTGAGGATAGGAGGAACAACTGACAACTATCTTCTTCTCCATTCCTAGCAATCAAATTCCTCCTCAGCTATGAGCATCTGTTGACATGGTACAACCTAGCTTAATTTACATTGATAAATATAGAGTATTTTATATGAAATTTTCATACTTTTTTTTTTATTCTAGATGTTATTTCATGGAGTGTCAGTATGTTTCATTACCTTGATTTTCAATAAATTCATTTTGCCACTGGCAGTTACTAAACTAGGTAAGACCTACTAAATTAGTATTGTGAGTGAAGAGAAACTATTCTAAATATGCTTAAGAAGTACTAATAATGAAGAATCCATATAAATACAAGTCACTAGTGCCTAGCTGAAGAGGAAATAGTCTATAAATAAGGCACATTAATGGTTTTGACTAATAAACTTGTTTATTTAAAAAGGTTACTTATTTGCATTAGTCTAGTTTAACTAAAATAATAGTGCAAATGTATTCATTTATTTAATTATTCAGCAATTTTTATTAAGAACCTACTATATGCTGATAACGAACTGACAGTGAAACATTATGAAGACAGACAAGATTTCTGATCTGATGGAGCTCACATTAGAGTCAGGAGAGACAGGCAATAAGCAACTCAAATAAGGTCATATCAGATGGTCCTATGTGCACTGAAGTAAACAAACCACAAAATGAAATTTAAAAAAGAGCATAACAGGTGCTAAATTCTTCAGGAAGCTAGAGAAAGAGTGTGTTTAAGGAAACAAAAGAAGTTTTGAGGAGTTGAAACCTTAGAGAATAATATGGAGAGTGGAGAAAAACCAGATGGGAAAGGTAAGAAAGAGTTAGATACAAAGAACCTTGTAGGTCACAGTAAGAAGTCAGGATTTTATTCTAAGGGCAAAAGTAATTCATTGGTTGGTTTTAAGCAAGTAAGTATCATTATATGATTAAGGTCTTAAAAGGACCACTCTGGTTGCTGTGGGTAACGGACTGGGGGAGGGTATGGGAAAGTAGAAGCAAAAATACCATTTAGGAAGCTATTGCATTAGTCCAAGGGGAAATTGTCAAGGATTGAATTGTGTCCCCCAAAAATATCTGTCACCTTGGCTAGGTCATGATTCCCAGAAATGTATGATTTTCTACCATTTGATCATCTGATGTGATTTCCTTATGTGCTGTAAATGCTATTACTATGAAGTAACGAGATAGATTAGCGGCAGTTATATTGATGAGGTCTATAAGATTAGGTAGTGTATTAAGCCAATCTCTTTTGAGATATAAAAGGGAGAAGCAAGTAAAGAGACAGGGGACCTCATACCACCAAGACAGCAGTGCCAGGGTCAGAGCACGTCCCTTGGACCTGAGGTTCCTGTGCTGAGATGCTCCCAGATCAAGGGAAGACTGATGACAAGGGCCTTCCCCCAGAGCCGACAAAAAGAGAAAGCCTTCTCCTGGAGGTGATGCCCTGAATTTGGATTTGTAGCATACTAGACTGTGAGAGAATAAATTTCTCTTTGTTAAAGCCATCCACTTGTGGTATTTCTGTTATAGCAGCACTAGGTGACTAAGACAGAGATAATTGTGGCTTGGACTAGAATTGTGGCAAAGGAGAGAAAAGAGCGCATATTTGAAATGTATTTAGTGGTAGAGATTGGATGAGAGGTCTAAAAATAAGAGGAATTAAGGAGCATTTGTAGATATTTGACCTCAACAACAGGTTGGTGTTGATGTTATTAACTACCTTGGGAAATGGTCAGTTTCAGGAAACACATCAGAAGTTATTTTTTGTTTATTAAATTTGAAACGTCTAGTAGACAGTCAAGAAGAGAAACCAAAGTGGCAGTCGAATGTGTCCCTGGATCTTAGGGAAGAAGTCAGGGCTAATGACGTAAATATTACAGATGTAAAAGATGTAAATCTATATTACTTTGTAGACCTGGACTAAAAACATGTTTTGTAAAGCAAATACGTGTACCTTTTGACTATAACAGTGCCAGGCCCATGGCAGGAACTTAAATATTTGGTGAAGGACTGAAGCTTGTTTATTCACACCTTTGTGTCCCACAAACATAATTGAGTTAAACATTTTGAGAGATTAATATGTGACTTTTGCTGGGTCAGGAAGGAGGGACTGGTTTAGCAAGCTGTATGTTTATACTGGAGCCCTGGTGGCACTATCTCCATCTGGAAGATTCATGATATATAGTAGCATCTTACAAGCACCAAGAAGTCCTGTAGTAATGAAACCTGTATAATTGCTTTTTATCTCATATGAATGTATCAGTTTAGAAAACACTAAATTTTAGGCCCACTCCAAACCATTTTATTTTTGTCACCACTAAGTGGTCAGTTTTTTATTTTTTATTGTACTTTAGATGGATGTTTACAGAACAAACTAGCTTCTCATTAAACAGTTAGTACATACATTGTTTTATGACATTGGTTAACAACCCCATGATATGTCAGCACTCTCCCTTCTTTCCCTTGTGTCTTTAGTTTTTTTCAATTTTCCTTGCTCCTGAAGGACTGAGACCAATGGAGTATCTTAGATGGCCACTCACAGGCTTTTAAGACCCCAGATACTACTCACCAAAGTAGAATATAGAACATTTTCTTTATAAACTATGTTACACCAGTTGAGCTAGATGTTCCCTGAGACCATGGTCCCCACAGCCCTCAGCCCAGTAATTTGGTCCCTGAGGGAGTTTGGATTTGTCCATGGAGCTTCCATGACCTTACCCTGAACAAGTTGTGCTGGCTTCCCCAGTATTGTGTACTGTCTTACCCTTAACCAAAGTTATCATTTATCTATCGTCTATTTAGTGTTTTTCCACCCCCACCACTCCCCTCCATCATAAGCATCAAAGATTGCTTCTTTTTGTGTGTAAACCTTTTCATGAGTTTTTATAGTTAATGGTCTCATACAATACTGACCCCTTTCTGATTGACTTATTTCATTCAGCATAATGCTGTCAGATACTTCGCACATTCATCATTGTTCTTTTTCATTGCATAGCATTCCACTGTGTGTAGGTATCATACTACGTTTATCCATTCATCTGTTGATTGATATCTAGGTTGTTTTCATCTTTTCACTATTGTGAACAATGCTGCAATGAACATGGGTGTCCATATGTCTATTTGTGTGATGGCTCTTATTTCTCTAGGATATATTCCTAGGAGTGGGATTGCTGGATCATATGGTACTTCTATTTCTAGCTTTCTAAGGAAGCGCTGTATCGTTTTCCAAAATGGCTTCTACCATTTTGCATTCCCAGCAGCAGTGCCTAAGAGTTCCAATCTCCCTGCAGCCTCTCCAATATTTGTTATTTTCTGTTTTTTTGATTCGTGCCAGTAATGCCAGGATGAGATGGTATCTCACTGTAGTTTTGATTTTCATTTCTTTAATGGCTAGTGATCGTGAGCATTTCCTCATGTGTCTGTTAGCCACTTGAATGTCTTCTTTGGTGAAGTGTCTGTTCATTTCCTTTGCCCATTTTTTAATTGGATTATTTGTCTTTTTGTTGTAGAAGTGTTGGATTTTCCTATAGATTTTAGAGATTAGAACTTTGGTCGGATTTGTAATAGCCAAAAAATGTTTTCCCAGTCTGTAGGTTCTCTTTTTATTCTTTTGATGAAGTCTATTGATGAGCATAAATGTTTAATTTTTAGAAGATCCCAGTTATCTAGCTTATCTTCTGGAGTTTGTATGCTGTATCCTGTTAATGCCATGTACTAGGGTCTCTAGCATTGATCCTGTTCTTTCTTCTATGACCTTTATACTTTCTGTTTTTATATCTAGGTCTTTGATCCATTTTGAAACAGTTTTTGTGTATGGTGTGAGGTATGGGTCCTGTTTCATTTTTTTGCAGATGGATATCCAATTTTGCCAGCACCATTTGTTAAAAAGACTGTCTTTTCCCCATTCGATGGATTTTGGGCCCTTGTCAAAGACCAGGTGACCGTAGGTGGATGGATTTACATCTGGGTTCTCAATTCTGTTCCACTGGTCAATGCATCTGTTGTTGTACCAGTACCAGGCTGTTTTGACTACCGTACCTGTATAGTAGGTTCTGAGATCAGGTAGTGCAAGTCCTCTTATTTTATTCTTTATCTTCAATAGTGCTTTGCTTATCCGGTGTTTCTTCCCTTTCTATATAAACTTAATGATTGTTTTTTCCATCTCTTTAAAGAATGTTGTTGGTATTTGAATCTGGATTGCACTGTATTTGTAGATTTCTTTGGGTAGAATTGTCATTTTCACGATGTTAAGCCTACCTATCCCTGAACATGGTATGTTTTTCCATTTCTGTAGATTTCTTTTGGTTTCTTGCAGTAGTGTTTTGTGGTTTTCTTTGTATACGTCTTTTATATCCCTGGTTATATTTCTAGCAAAGTATTTTGTTTTTTTAAGGGCTATTATAAATGTTTTCCTGATTTCCTTTTCATCGTTCTCTTTATCGGTGTGTAGGAATCCAACTAATTTTTGGATGTTTTTCTCATATCCTGCTACTCTGCTGAATCTTTCTATTAGTTTCAGTAGTTTTCTCATGGAGTCTTTTGGGTTTTCTATGTATAGTATCATATCATCTGCAAATAGGGAGAGTTTTACTTCCTCCTTACCGATCTGAATGCCCTTTATTTCTTTTTCTTGCCTTATTGCTCTAGCTAGGACTTCCAGCACAATGTTAAATAGGAGTGGTGATAAAGGGCATCCTTGTCTTGTTCCTGTTCTCAAGGGGAATGTTTTCAGCCTCTCTCCATTAAGAATGATGTTGGCCATTGGTTTTGCATAGACGCCCTTTATTATGTTGAGAAATTTCCCTTCTGTTTTAGTCATCTAATGCTGCTATAACAGAAATACCACAAGTGGATGGTTTTAATGAAGAAAAGTTTATTTCATCACAGTCAAAGTAGGCTAAAAGTCCAAATTCAGGTCATCAGCTCCAGGGGAAGGCTTTTTCTCTCTGTCAGCCTTCTTCTCTTTGGTGTTCCCCCGGACTAAGAGCTTGTCTCTGCAGGGACCCCGGTCCAAAGGACGCACTCTCCTGGCACTGCTTTCTTGATGGTAAGAGGTCCCCCTGTCTCTCTGCTCACTTCTGTCTTTTATATCTCAAGAGATTGCCTCAGAACACAATTCAGTCTTGTAGATCCAGTCCTGCCTTACTAACACAACTGCCACCCATCCTTCCTCATTAACATCATAGAGGCAGGGTTTACAACATATAGGAAAATCAAACAGTACCAGGAATCATGGCCCAG